CTGTTCTTGATTCCTTCAATCCTTCAGGCTATTCGTGCTTTGTCGAATGTCTGTAAGGGTTTGGGTGCTGCATTTATTATGCTGGACCGTTTGTCGGAATTTTGAACTTGAAGTCGATTCCTGATTTTCAATCTTAGCTCGTTATAAACTGTTTTCGAGAAAAGTTGTTGTTCTTTGCATTGCTTTTGGATCGTTACAACTTCAATTCGTTACAACAAGAACGATAAAAAAGTCGTCTTGTATAAGACCTCCTCGTTGCAATAAAACAAAAATTACAACTTTTCGAAAATAAACACGAGATCCGTTTTTGGTGGCGGTCTCGGCTTGCGTGGGTCTTTAGCCTGTGACGGGGACGTCAATCCGTGACCACCGGGTAGGTCAGATCCGTTCGCGAGAAATCGACTAGAGTTTCGTCTATCCGCGAGGGATTAGAAACTCTGAAGCTTCGTCGACCCGCGTGGGATCTAGAAGTTATGAAAGCTTATATCTCGGCTAAAGCCGAGACATAGCTCTTACTAGTATCACCGACTAAAGGCAATACTAAGGAAAAGAACAAGGGGAAGGAAGACAGACTCCTTTTTTGCTGGCAGACGGCTCGAGCACTCCCACTCCGGGCGGGCTTGCGCCTAGGCTCTCTCCAAAGAAATACCTCGCAAGGCCACCAAAGAAAATCAGAGGCTAATCAGGAGCCCTTGAAATGGAAAGGCCTAAGGGCCTATTTATAGAAACCAAGAGGGGGGGGTGTAAAAGTGAGGAACCCCCTTGGGTGTCCTTGGCGCAGACACCCCTTAAGGGTGTCTCGCCAAGGGCCGACGACAGCGCCTGGGGTGTCTCGCGCCTGGCGAGAACCCCTGGGGTGTCTCGGCCAGCGAGACCGCCTTGGGTGTCCTCGGCGCTGGCGAGACACCCTGCGGGCCTGGCGCGAGAACACCTTGGGGTGTCTCGGGCCAAGCCGAGACACCCGTGGGGTGTCTCGGCAAGCCCGAGACACGCTTGGGTGTCTCGCCTGGGCGACGAGACACCCCTGGGAGTGTCTTGGTTTGCCAAGACACCCTCGGGTGTTTCGAGCTTGCCAGACACCCGGGTGCCTCAGTTCTAGGTCGAGCCTTCCAGGTGTGTTTGCCGTTGATTCGTCGTCCAAACTTGATTTAGTGATTTCGGATGCGTTGGATAGACGAAAGACTCTGTTAGCCCGCCATGGTTGTATCAAGTGTGATGATCAGGACATGACGGGGTGTTGGCTCCTTTTGGCATCGGTTGCGGGGTTCCTCAGTCCAGTCCGTATCCTGTTGTTCTGAACTCTGTCGGCTTCACGTAGCTGCGTCGATTCGCACTTCAGGCGCTCACCGACGTAATTGACTCTTGTGAACCGAGAGTGACCGTTCATCGTCATTCCCTAACACTGAAGCTGTTCGTGGGACCTATCGGCCATTTTGTGGCCTACAGATACGCCTCAAAGCGTTCGCGGCCTCGTTCTTTTATAGAAGAGACCGAATGCTTGGATATGATTGGTCCGGCTCAGCGTCATAAGGACCTGTGGTTAGCTTCAACTCTCGCTCGCTTCGATTTTCGTTTATCGATGCTTGACGAATAAATCGAAGTTTTCCGGGCTGCGTTATCGCCTGGCCGTCGTTGAATCTCGAAGTCTACCGCTGGTGACATTGAGTTTGGCCTCGTTCATGAGTCTGACTTTTGAACTTACTATCCTCACATCCGTGTTACTGGGGTTTCGGATGCACTGCACGTTGACTTTTGGACGCATAGCGTTGACTTGCGTTGAAACCTAGGGTTACGCGTTGAACCGCGTGACGCCTTAGTTTTTGAATCGTCGAAGCGATTGCTTGGTTTGGATTTTCATCCGAACGTTGAATTTGTCGCAACGGCGTTTGACTGAGCGGTTGACCTAAGGGTTCGCGTTGACCGCGTTGACCCTAGGGTTTCGAAATGCGTCACGTTGACTCTGATTGCAACGCATTGACTTGGCGTTGACCTAGGGTTACGGCGTTGACGCGGCTGTTGACCCTTAGGGTTTTGAATCGTGACGTTGATTGGTGTGGATTTCATCTCGAACGTTGACTTTGTCGCAGCCTTGACCTGCGTTGACCTAGGGTTACGCTGACCGCGCGTTGAGCCCTTGGGTTCGTGCTCGAATGTTGAATTGTGATTGATTTATCAAAACATCCATAATCGACGAACAGGCGTATCCGGGTCCTAAACAAAGGCAATATAAGACAAAACAGGACCGAGATGGCCCGGGGAGTGTCTCCCCCTTGGCCGAGACACTTGGGGCTCGGCCAAGGCCGAGAAGCACGCTAGGTGTCTCGGTTTTGGGGCCGAGACACGCCCTTCTGCCCTTCATCTTTTCTTTTGGTCTTTTTTCCTTTTGGTTTGTTGCTTTTTCCTTGTTTTGGTCCCATTACTTTCTTTGTTTCCCCTCTTTTCAAAATTCAAAGAAGATTCCCCTCTTAATTTAACTCTCAGGAAACCGACTCGCTTTCCCGGACCCTAGTTTCCACGTGGTCTTCTGTCTTCGCCCAAACTTCTTTCCTCATTCGGATTTGTTCTCAAGGATCCATCACCATTCACAGGCTAGGATTTTGGTGTTCTTATTATGGGCAAATTCGGCAACACTTGCTCCGTCCAAGTAGGGTTCCCTCCTTCTCTTCAAGCTTAAAAAACTCTTTGATTTGGTAAGCCTCTCTTTTACAATCTCTATTTTCTGTAAGCATTTGGCATCTTTATTCTTGTAGTAGACTTGGGGTTTTGTGGGGGCCAAAGAGGTAATGGCGCGAAACTTTGGCTTATTTGCAACAAAGGGACTGGAAATTTCGTGGGTTATTTGCAAAGTGGAACTGAAATTTGGGTATTGGTTTATGTCCCATTATGGTGAAGGGATGTGGGGGTGCTTATGCAAGAGGATCAAGGAGTTGTTTGATGGGGTTTTAGTTGCAAAACAGGCCCTAAACGTTTTGGGAGGGCTTATTGCCAAAGAAGGGCTGTGAAATTGAGGCTGAAATGCCAAGGGGTCAAACCCCAAGCCCTGATCACAATTTTGATAAATGCATGTGGAGACCACATGCAAAATTTGTAGAGGGGCCTTTTATGCCAAGATTGGCTAATTATGCAAAAAGGGCTTATTTGCAAAATTTAACCAAAATGGTGGGGTACCGGGGTGTTATATGATCGGGAATGTGATGACATGACCCGGGTTACGCGGTGCCTTGACCTGAAATTTTGGCCTTGAACCACGAAGGGTATTTTGGGTATTTCACCAATTTACCGGCGAATACGATCATATGTTTTGCGGGCACAAAATTGGTAGGTTTTCAATTAGACCTTTAACTGTAAACCCTATTATTTATAGGAATTTTAGTCCAGTGCTAATTTCCCTTCTTAAATTGTGATTCATTTGTACCGTGACAGATTGCTTTTCCGCTGGCACAGTTTCACCCCGCCCGATGTCTCCCGCGTCAGCGGCATGCGATCTTATCCGGGAGTTACCGCCCATTCGCAGCACAGTGAGGAGGAGGTTGTCGCCACGACGTCTTTCCGCGGGCAGACTTTTCCTGTCAGGGGTGAGAATTCTGCTACTTTCTGCTGTATCCCTGACTTGATCGCTTAGCGGGTCATTAAGCGAAGAACGCCGATACCTCTTTCGCGAGGTTAGGTTTCGGAGCTTGTTTTGCTTAGCATTCAAAATCTTCGATATATTGGGGCGATTCTTGTGTTGTCTTACAACCTTGTAGTTTCGGCTGTATGTTTACCGCACGTGTTGCACGTGAATGATGCATCCGTTCATTTTTTTTTTTTTGTTTTTT